GATGGCTTGCTTGTATTTATCTTGGAGTGTCTGGACCTTTGGTTCTGTGTAGGCAGTCTGGTGGTACTTGTGCTCTTTGTGTTCATAGTGATGTACTACTTAAATAAGAGGGTGGTCCCTGGATTTTAGTGATAGCTGTGTGTTGAACAGTCAGTTTGCATATAGGAATATAAACAGCTATATTAACTGTTACAAAAATTCTTTAGCCTGTGACTGGTTTTTGCAGTGTTTTGAATGTGGTGGAACGGTATGACTTTCAACAGCATCTGTTTAGGATGACTGTTTTGAAAGACCATTCCAAAATCATGCCACTGTTCTCTATTTGTCCATACAGTTTTCACATGTGTACATATGCATATAGAAATATATCTAACTGTTTTTCCTCATCTTACTTGCTAATACGTTCACACCACCACCTCCCCAAGAGATTTTCATCCTTACTGTTTTTCCAGGAATTGGAATGGAGAGTAATATTACTGGTGGATTATTCCAGTCCCTTTTCAGCTAATTCCCATGCTGCACAGTTCTTTCCTATAGTTCTTTCCTATAGCTTGTGTTTAGCTTACCAGCATTTTGCACTAATGGATTGCAGATGCTGCAGAGAGTACTAATACCAGAAGATTTTGTACTCTGGTAGTAACATGTCATGCTTTTATAGTCTCTGAGTATGTGATAGTTGTGACATTTAATTTAATTTAATAATTGCATTTTGTAAATAATTATCTACCTGTTACAGGAGCAACTATAGATTTCACGGAAACACCCCCCTTGAAGATATTTCAGCTGTTAATTTAGTCTCTCTGGGAGGCACACCTAGACTTGAGGACAGTTGGGGATATCAATGCTTTTTAGTTGCTCAGGTACAATAGAACTTCACCGTGTCTGGAACATGTGAGTTGGCAAAATGAAACCTTGCAGTAGTCTGTGCTCCTGCAGCCCAGAGAGGGGGAACCTTGGGCAGTGTCAGTGGCTTCAGAAAGCTCTGCAGAGCAGCAGTTGTTGTTGTGCTTTGCTGCCAGAAGGCACTGTGGGGCTGGTGCTGTGCGTGCTGGGATTTGCCACCTTAGCTGGTGAATCAGGCAGCCCGTTCCCTGCCCTGCCCTCTGCACTCAGCAGCCTCGTGCATCTGCCTGGGCCACCATGAGGGATGTTTGTCTGATGTGTTGGTACAAACAGGCTGTTTGGGTTTTAGCTTATCTGGAGACACACATTTTTGCCATCATATGCATACTGTACATGCCTATCTGTAAACACATAAATTTAGTTCTTAGAAGAGGCCTGAGAAGGAATCTCTGCAATTAATGTGAAGACTTGTATGCTTATTTTAATGCAACTGAATCCATTGACTGGAGAATTTGTCTCGTGTTTACAAGCTGAAAAAGCGAGGAACCCATACATTTGTAAAAGAGGACCAAGCGACTTGACATATGTTGCATCAACCTGAGCAAGTAAGCAGGAATAAAAATAAGTACTAAAACTTGGAGTTTCCTGTAACTCATGTGCTCTAGACTAGAAAAGCATTGCTAAAACCCAAGTTGTACTGAGGAAAAAAAAAAAGATAATTCATTTTATTAAACAAATTAATACTTAGACATCAGTAATTTACATGTCTGTAATGTTTTTTTACCTTGATAGTGTTTCACTACATTTTAGGTTGTTTTAAGTAATATTTATATAAATATACATTTTATGTATTTCAGAAAAAAGCTTAAAGGAAGCATACTAGAGATTGTTTAGCATACAACAATCATTTTGGAGATAAAGGCTTGGAAAACACATGGTTTAAGATACATTGAAAGACTGCATCATCTGATCTGTCCCATATTCAAAGTCAAAGCCCTTTAGATTTCTAGAGACTGACTGGAGTGTGGAGGGTTGAAAATGCTGGAAAAGACACCATCAAGGGCAAATCCTTTGTTTGCAGTCCCTGTAATGGAAAGTAATTTTACCTTCTGGTCCGATCCTGCCTCAATATGTGCCTGTTATAGTAAATGCATCTTTGTCATGCACGAGCACCACTTGCATTAACGATAATGGAGTTTTCATATGCATTTGAAAGATGTTCATACCCTCTGTTATTGCATGTCTAATGCTGCTGAAGCCAATGCTGATATATTCTGTTTTTTCCTCTGTGAATCAGCACTGTTACAGTCAGCAGGTACATATATTTTTAGGAATTCTGCTTAAGGAATCTGGCAAACCTACATTTTTGAACATGTTTTTAGTAGCTTTGATTTATTTTGATTATTATGTGCTAGGGAGTTTCACTACAATTCAGCAGATAGAATTTAGGTCCAAGATAGTAGATAAATATGCTGTCCAGGTTCTGAAATCAAACCATGTTTTCAAACTTAAGTGGGCAAGTTGTTAAAATAATCAAACTCCAATTTACTTTTTATTTAAGAAAGAAAAAACCTGTGCACAGCATATATATGGTGTAGTGATTTTTGAAAAACATAAGAAGATGAATAGATTGTGATCTTGAGGAATGGGTTTTTAGGAAATGATAATGCTTTAGTTACCGGTGTAAAACTAACTCACTTATCTTGTGCCTGTGTTTCTTGGTCAAACCTGGGAGAACCAAATAAGTGTTTTGCATATTGCTTCAAGTGGAGTAAGGATTGAATATTTGGAGCCATTATTGTAAGATCTTTGGGGCCTGTAAATTACATACTACTTTTCAAATAATTCCTACTTTTGTATATAAACCAAGTGTGGTTCTACTCACTTTATTCAATGTTAACATTGTATTGGTAAGAAGTACAAACTGAAGAGAAAACAAAATGCCAAGGCTGGGTTTTTCTAGTTTGGGGGGTTTTGTGTTCTTAAATTCTTGGTTGTCTTCAATTTCAAGGTAAATCTTCTTTAGTTTTCTATTTAGATAGTCATTTGGTGTATTCTACCCAAATGCTGGAGACTAATGGGGTTTGGAAAATTACATGATGGGACTGTTGAGGTGAACTCTTATAATGACAATATTAAAGACACAGGTGGAACAGTGAGTTCTAAAGTCCATCATCAGTGCAAGTTCATCAGCTGGCCTGACTGTGCTTGACCTTTTGCATGGTGAGCTGGTACAGCGAGTGCCACAAAGCTCTCCTTTTCCAAACAAAAACACATGTACCTCTTTCATCTTGCAAGGCCTCTGTAAAGGTCAAACACAGCTGTAGTTCAGCTGAACAAAAAGGATCAGCTCCATTCTTGCATCTTGTGCAATGCCACAAATAAAGACAGGACGGGGAGAGGTTTAACTTGTGGAAGGGAGTTCTCACAGTAAATGAAAGTAAAGGTTTGCTACTCCAAAGGGTTTTCTTTAATAACCTCACAGTTTTAGCCACCCTATTTATTTAATTGAGAGCATGTTGCTGTCTAGCCTGCAGATAAACTAGCTAACCCTGTCATTTTACCTTCCTGAGTGCAGTTTCACATTACAGGACTATCAGTCCACAGACAAGTTATCATACAGTAATACTAAGCTAACATGGCTGTGTGAGTAAATTTAATTGACTGCAAAGATGGAATTCTCAGCTTTTCCTTCACTTGGCCAACATCCAGAAGAATGTAGCTTCTATGCTGTAGGAAACGCTGTAGAATACAAAATATGCACATTTGCATGTAAGCATTATCTGCACAGTCTGATATCCACATCCTGATTTTGGTTCACTTTTACTGTGCATTTGTGCCTTCTCATTTGTTGCATTTGTACTTCACTTAAAAACTAACACTGAGATGTTACTAAAAATCTTAATTTGAGGTTTTTTTTTTAATGGTGTAGCTGCTAAAGAAAACACCAAAAGGTGCCTTTTACAATGTATTGTCTTTCTGAATAATGTTTTCAACAGCTGCAGCAACTGTGGATATTGTCAATTGTGGAATATGTTTGAAATATGCCCACTGTATGAATGTCCACAAATTAGGCTTTGTGAAAACCTAAAACGAGTGCTCTACAGTCCAACTGCATCAGTAGATGGATTGTTCCCAGCCTGGTTCCCAGTACAGTGTACATTGCTTCTGTACTGGCTAGATATAGGGGCATTTTTATTTATTGTGCTCTGTTTTTATACCTAAAAGATTGCTAGGAAACTAGGACACAGTGGCAACAGTGACTAGTTGAGTGTATAAGTTACTGTTACACAAGTTCTTGGCACAAGCCGAGATGAGAAAAAATGACACCACGGACCCAGGAAATAAATACATTATTCATTCTTTTCTCTGCATTTCTTTTGTGTTCTACTTTACTATTTCTGTTAATTAAATGTTCTCATGAAAAGCTTCCTCTCCACCTTTTTCCCCCCACCCCAGGGTCAATATCCCTGACCTCATTGCTCCAGTTTCTCTCACTGATTTTAACTGAGAGAAATGTAAAGCTTGCATATTATTTTAAAATACCTAAGATCAGCTTAGGTGTATAAAGGTCTGAATCCTGCTTGCTTTTGGTCTGCAGAGTAGAGAGTAATGTATCTGTATGTTAAATACAGGTTTTAAATGAATGTATGGGTCCTTTTTCAATCACAAGATTGAGTAAAGAAGTTGTTTGGGCGGGTGAAACAAAACAAAAAGACCCTTTTGCTAATTTATCTGGATACCCTGGATGATTTTGTGATTTTCCTGTCATTACTCCCCTTTTTGTAGGCTAATTTTCAATTAGCTAAGAGACCACAAGAAAATTTCTCTTAAACATTTATTCTTCTTCAGAGTTGATAACATTTGGGACTGAGAGAGAAGAAATGTTTTAAGACATATTGTGATCTGATCAGAACTAGGTGGATCTGGCAGCTGGATAGAAATCTCTTTACAAACAGCTTAGTGGTAGTTCTGTGTATTTGTTACTGAGAATAAAAGGAAAGCATTACATTTTTAGCACTTGGTTTCCAGCATTCAGGAAATACACATCATGAATGTGTATTAAGCTTCATTTTATTGCTTACTAGTTCTTTTAATGACACTGGTATAAAACCTCATGTCCCTTTAGTGACTCTGCTTTCCCTATTACAGGTGCTGTTGTCCGGATTGATCGGTGTTGTTTCTTGGAAGAGACCACTTTCACTTGTGGTGAGTGATTTTGTCTTTATATAGAAGCCTAATAGTCATTGGGGATGATTTTCCAGTGCTGTTATGTATCCTAATATTTATAAACCCTTAGTACAAAAATTTTGTGACTTTGAAGTTGTATTACATAAAATACCTAAGTGACAATGATATTTTTCTTCTGTCTGACAAATGGACTATTGGTCTGCCCTTAGCTTTGCATTTAACTTAATTTTGCAAAAATTGCACCGCAGAGTAATCTTTTTAACAAGGAGAGGAAAAAAACTTATTCCAAATTAGTTGCTGTTCATCTTCCTCTGCAGAATGATTTTCAGATACATTATTTCTGTTGTGAGATCCATGTAGTGACTTAATAATGAAAAATTATATATTCTTTATATGTGCATGATAATAGAGTTTTAGATAACCTATTAACACAAAGTAGTATTAGATTCAAATCAATCTTATTTAAAAGGTGCGATGATTGTGTCAATAAGGACATGTTAGCAGATAAATATTGCCTTTGAAAAAGTGTGCATCTGTAACAGAGTAACAGAAAACATTTGTAGCAGTTTGTAACAGTAAAGGTAGCCCCCGGGGAAAAAAGAATATAATGGAAAGTATAAAATGCTGTATTATTGACAATAAGCTTAATTAGAACTTGGAAGTGTATCTTTCAGTATTATGAACTAAATCAGAGCTTACATCATTAGAATAGACAATATTCATGCAGAAATGTTATTCAGGCCTATTGAGACTTGGCTTCTTTGATTCCTGAACACTTACTCACACGTTGTAAGTTCAGCTGGGCTCTCAGCTATCAATCCACTCAGTGAAATATGAATAGGCAGTCATGTTAGCATCATTCAAGGAAATAAAGATAAAAGGGAAGAAACAGTAAATGGCAACATTAATGCTTGCAGAACAGCTCACCTTCCTAAAATATGCTCTAGGAAATTATTTCTTTCCAAGAGTAAGCTTAGTGCTCATGTGTTAGATCCTGATTTTCTCCTGTATTTCTGTATTGGCACTTGGTGGTGATACAATAATCGGCTGGAAGAGCAGGAGACAGGGATGATGTTTTTCACCGCTGTGTGTGATTAAGCTGTGTAACAGCCGGGCTAATAGTTTTGCAGTGGCTACATAATATCTTGTTTTTCTTGTTGAATTGTAAATACCTTTTAGCAGTTGGAACCCAGGAGTGCAGTATGACGGTTCTGATTAGCAATCAGTACTGTGTAACTTTGCAACCTCATATCAACATGCTTACGAGTTGTATTTCTTGTGACCTGTTTATACAACACATGCCAAATACATATGGTCAATGATTACCTTTTACCCTATTTTATAGTATTACAAACAACTATATAATTGATTACAGTACATGTGGGTTTTGTTGCAAATCGTTACAAAATCTGTCATTTCCAAAAGTGATTCCAGAAACATAGATATCTTTATCATTTGAAGCTATGAATAAAGGTATAAAATTAAACCATACACCTTCTGTGATTCCTGAAAACTGGTGAAACTGTTATATTTTAAGGTGCCAGTTTTCTGCATATCTTGGATTTTTGGCTAAAACAGAGTTGATAACAACCTGTGTTTTGACTATTGCTGAGCAGTACCTGTGCAGTATCCAGGCTCTCTGTTGTTCCCACACTGCATCATTTGCTTTGGCTTTTTCCTTCCTCTTTCCTTTGCCTATTAAACTATCTCCACGCACAACTTTTTTCACTTAGGCTTTTCTAATTCTCTTCCAGTCCTGCTGCAAGGGGCAGAGATGGAGCAGGTGTGTGTGTGATGCTCAGCCTCTGGCCAGGGTCAGCCCCTCACGCTGCTGATTCGGATTGACTCATCAGTATAATTGTATGGATTTTTTCCTCAGATGTCTTTTCTTTGCAAATATATTATTTTCTGCAGGCAGAAAGAGGAAGTTGAAGAAGCATTAAAAACAAACAGTAGTTCACCAACCATTAATTTCTGTCCGTATCATACCAGAAATGTGTTATGTAGTATTGGTGTAGAAATAAGTGGGTTATTGGATAGTTTAAAAGCTTGGAAACAAAGTTAAAACTGAGAATAGTTGTGTATTTACAAGATATTAGTACAAATGTTTATGTACTAAAGACATTTTACTGTGATATTAATGTGCAGAAATTAATTAGAAAAATGTCTGTATTGAAAAAAGAAATTACTAATAATTTTAAATGAATATATCCGCATACATTCTTGCCCCATAAGGTAAATGAATATGTAAAACTGGTCCAAATGTTTTTCCTCATTGATTGTCTTCTATCACTAGATATCTTTGCTGAGTGTGGTAGAAATAACCAAGCTCCAGGAAACAGATGAAACATAAAATGAGTAGAAATAAATTATGAGTAAGTTTCCTATTTTCTTCTCAGTGAGGTGGGGTATTGACACGTTCCTGGCCATGCTGCTGAACCTGAAGTCCTAGAGTACCTTAGCTGATGAGTCGTGGTATTTTTAAACTCTCGTAAGAGAATTTACGTCTGCTTTTCAGATGAAATCCAATTGAAATTTTTGAATTAAAAAAATAAGGTGGTTGTCCTCCGTCCAAACCCCACTCTTCCCCCCAAGGAGAGATTTGGTTTTGGTTACTGGAATAAAAGAGTGATCTCTGTAGTGGAGAGACAATGTCAGCATAATTGGGTCAAGACTGTAGGAGGAAAATGAGTGAAAAAATGTCCCCTGTGGGAGAAGGGCAGAGTCTAAAGGCACCCATCACCTCGTGTGTCATTGTTGACTTTGATACTTGTGTGATGTGGAGATGAGATGCAGAACATTCCTCTGCTTTAACAGATCCCTTCATCAGTCTGCAGTATCACTTCAGCGTGAGTATTCTTTGAATTCGTTGATCAAAATGTTCATTAGGAACACTTGTCTTTGGGGCTGGGGTGTCAGTTTAAAGGTTAACAAAACACTGTGAAAACACTGTGAAAACAACTGCATCTTACGTAATAGAATTTTTCTAAGTTTCTGATAAACTAGGAGATGGCTGAATGCTGAGTATTGCTTGCTTTCAGAAAGAGACTTGGAAAACTGTAGTCACTTCTACGTGGAAAGCAAATCCAGTGCTGGTTCACAAAGTAGCTCTTCTAGTATAGAGTTGTAAATTTTGCTCAGAACTGATGTGAATCCAGGCTTTGAAATTGAGAACAGAGTGTTTTTCTTTGACCTCTTTTCTGGGAGCATGGAAGGAAAATGCTCAAATTTAGAGGAGCTGAATGATAAATCAAGGGGCAGAGAATTGTGGAGAACTAGGAAAGGAAGAGGGAATTGAAATGTGAGTCTGAGGACATGAGGGAGATAGAGATCAAAAGCTGTGCAGAAGAACAAGATCTGGATGAATAGAGAAGAGTGAACCAAAACCATGTCAGTAAGAAGTCACACAATGGAATCTCTGATTTTTCAGTATGATTTTTAAAAACAGTACTACAAGCACCATAAATAACTGACTTGCAGTATATTTGGATCCTAGGTTTGAATGATTTCAGTGAAGAAAATGTAAGCTGTAAATAATCTTTTCCTATAGTTGGGACATAGTTAAGTTTTCTTTGCCTCTTCCCTTGCTCTTCTCCCTTCACTGAGGATTAGTTGTATAAAGCACTTTGGTAACCAAACTAGATCAACCATGTCTGCACACTACTGCAGCATGACTGGAGTTGTACCAACAGTCTGTGAGGCAAGTCTAAAAATGAGATTAATGTATCTATTGGTAACTGTACTCCAGGTTACATCAGTTTGAAAGCAGATTTAAAATAGATTTCTATCGAAGCTGCTTCTTTTTTATAGTTATTTCCAGAAGATTCTCAAACAGAGTAGTTAAACTGGAATGATCTTGGGGTTTTGGTAGTAAATTATCTTTCCTTATTTAAAAAATACCCAACCACTAAAGGAGGCCAGTGAATGTGGGGCCTTTTCAATCATTGTCATTATTTCATTCCTGCTCCTTCCTTACTTGCTTCCAGGGATGTATGTTCCCTTCCTACCCAGCTTCTGGTAAGAGCCAGTGGTGTGTAGGACACCTCTTGAGAGAAGTACGAGAACCTGGCTGCATTCCACACTTTATGGGAAGTGCATGGCAGAAGCTGTGGATCTCTTTTGTGTCTTCTAATGACAAATTTGGGATAGTAAGTGGTCAGATGCTTCAAGAAGGGCAATTTTAATTTACTGGGTAGTGTTCTTGGACAGGAGACCTTAGTGGAAAGAACAGCTGAAGAGGAATAGGAGAGAATAGGAACAGAACTGCAACTGATGACAGGTCTGCTTTAGGCATCCTTAGATGCATCCTGATTTAGTCATTCCCAATAAAGCTTGCAGATCTTTCTAATTTTTTTTGTTTCCTCAGCTTCTGACAGCAGTTAAAGTGTCAGTAGAAGCAGGATAACCACAGCATTCATCCTTCCCTTTTCATTAGAGTGTCTTTATGCTATAGCATAAATTTTCAGTTTCAAATACTTTAAGAAATAACCAACCGTATGAGAAATGAATGGGGATTTCTTAGGAAAGAAATTCTTTGTTACACAAAATACCTTAATGAATAACATAAATAGGTAAAAATATAAATATTTTATAGACGTTATATTTAGTGACTAGTTTTGGTTGTACTTGTGCTGACGTTTGTGTTTTGTTTTTCTGTGAAGATTCAAAGGATCAGATTTTACTGAAGTGCTTCTCGGAAAGTAGATTTCAAAGATGCTTGTAAAAGATGGATATGATTTTAGATGTGCATATACAGAAATGTGCCCTAGTCATGTTTACACAGTTATTCAGAAAATAGAAGTTATCTGATCAACCACACTTGCCAAGTCTAATTTGAACTTTGATGTTTGTGATCAGTCTGTGGAAATTAATAGCATGGAGTATTTTATTTACTATGCATTAACACAGTGCATTTCTTTAAAACTGATAGTGCGATTAAAAGTTTAAGTTTATTCTTAGGTTAAAGTGCTACAACCTCTGGATGCTCTTTCAGGCTTTTTCTGATGACTTTCTGAGGC